CTTCCACTTCACGCAACCCTAACCCTAACCGTTCCAGGATTTCTAGATCCACACACTTTTTCATCATCAACTATGAAGGAGCTCGGCGCCGGAAGCACCCCACCGGAGCTCCCGGCGGCGGGACAACAACTCGTCAAGCTCATCGGCAACCTCTGCTTCTCCATCTTCGTCATCTCCGTCCTCGTCTTCTCTGTCATTGCCGTCACCTACCAACCCCCTGACCCATGGTTCCAAACCTCCAAAGCCATCACCAAATCCCTCTCCGCCACTCTCCCCAACTCCACCTTCGCCACCGACGACTCCCTTCTTCCCACCGGCGAAGATCTCGTCGCCTCTCCCCCTTCAGCAGCAACCGCCACCGGCGCCGCTCTTCTTGACAACTCTTCCTTCCCCTCCTCTTCGACCTGCGATCCAAATGCCCCAATCAACTGCTCCAACCCCGCCGTCCTCGCAGCGATTCAGCGCTTCAACTCTAAGGTCTTCCGTAAATCTATCATCTTCATTTCGTACGACATCCCCGTCAATGGATCCAATCCCGACGAATGCGACGCCGCCTGGCGCTTCCGCAACCGCTTCGAGAAATCATGGCGAAGATACCGCGACTACCGCCGCTTTCACCTTTCTCCCACTGAGAATTGCACCTTCGAGGTCATTCGCGCCGGAAATTTCCGCTCCGGCATCAACGCCGCCCGCCGTCCCCGTCGCGCCGCATCTCCACCGACCATCCAGATCCCTGATCTGGACATCAACGACACGATCCCCACCGTCGGATCTGAATCAGAGTTCCGCAAGGGGAGGTACCTGTACTACACCCGTGGCGGTGACCACTGCAAGAGTATGAATCATTATCTATGGAGCTTCCTCTGCGGCCTCGGCGAAGCCGATTTCCTTAACCGTACCTTCGTCATGGACCTCAACGTATGCCTCGCCGGAAGCTATACTTCTACAGGAGAGAACGAGGATGGTAAGGATTTCAGGTTTTACTTCGATTTCGAGCATCTGAAGGAGACAGCTTCAGTTGTGGAGGAGGTGGATTTCCTCAGGGACTGGAGGAAATGGGATCGATCCGGTGGCAAAAACCAGAAGAGCAGCTCTAGCCGGATTAGTTTCAGAAAAGTGCCTACCTACAAGGTGACCCCAATGCAGCTCAAAAAGGAGAAGAGCACCATAGTTTGGAGACAATTTGAAGGCCCTGAGCCGGAGAATTACTGGTACAGGGTCTGCGAGGGCCGGGCGGCGAAGTACATCCAGCGTCCATGGCATGCCATTTGGAAGTCGAAGCGACTGATGAACATCGTCTCTGAGATCGCCGGAAAGATGGATTGGGATTATGATGCTCTTCATGTAGTACGAGGAGAGAAAACCATGAACAAGGAGCTGTGGCCTAATCTGGATAGCGACACTTCGCCGGAATCTTTGGTGGAGAAGGTCACCAAGTTGGTGACCCCTTGGAGAAATCTCTATATTGCTACAAATGAGCCTTTTTACAATTACTTTGATAAGCTGAGATCTCACTACAAGGTTCATTTACTGGAAGACTATAAGGAGCTGTGGGGGAACAACAGTGAGTGGTACAACGAGACGATGATTCTCAATGGCGGGCGGCCTGTGCAGTTCGACGGTTATATGAGGGTGGCGGTGGATACAGAGGTTCTCTACAGGGCGAAGGTGCGAGTGGAGACCTTCAATAACCTAACAAGGGATTGCAAGGATGGAATCAATACATGTTGAGTCATGATTGTGAATAGAATTTGAAGTTGAGTTGGAATTGTGGAAGAATTCTTCCAGAAATCTATGTTCTGATTGATTTACTCTGGCTTGCTGGTAAAGTTCAATCTTGATATTATTTTGCTTGATTATTTTTGTTTCATCAGATGTTTTGTTGAAGTGTTACCCTCACTCTTCATGGCTTTCTGTATTTCCATGCAGAAGGATTGTAATTTATTCTTGTTTTAGCTTTTTATGAGTGATTATATCCATTTTTAGCGTAAATTAAACTTTTTTTTTCTTGTTTGAAAACTGAGTGGTTTAGGAATGTGTTTGATTGTTGAAGCTTGTAGTATGATCCTTATATGACAGATAGGTGCGTTATGCTAACATGAATAACTAGAAATGGAATAAAATGGAATAAATCTGCACCACATTATATGTTAACCTCAAATATCTGCTATTATTTGATTTCATAATGTTGAGTTGATGTGTTTAGAAAGATGGATAATATTAGAAATTTTTATGTATTTAGATAATCTAATGTCAAAATTTTGATATTTGCTTATATATCACTATCATTATAACATAACATTGTCAATGCAACATCCTATTTTCACAGTTGTGAAAAATGGAGGGTTACATTAGATAGTCAACGACCTGTGTAAAATTGTTATCGAAAACTAATGACATGATCACTAAGAATTAGATGTTATTTTAGTATATGTCAAAGATTAGGTGTTCAATATGAAAATGTGCACCTTCATTATGAAGGGATATTGATTTGAGTGGAGATTGTTCATCCTATGACATTTTTTATTATGTTCATTTTATTATTTATTTTTATCATTATCTATTGCTTAATTTACATTTTCAACCTTAGTATTAGGTTTTTTTATCATCCTTTGATCTGTTGTATCATCATCTCTGCTGGTTTTGTAGTTTAGAAGTATTGAAAATTATTTCTATTCCCTACATGTTATCATCTCCATCAAACATGCATTTGAGAACTAAAAACATATTATGAGGAAGTCTGGATCAGTTTTAAAATGTTAATGCAGCAATCACAGCTACCATAACTAAGCATGGTATTTGATATCTGGGCATTTAACATAAATACCAACACGATTCTTTTCTACTTACATATCTAACACTCAAACTTTCATATTTACATATATGAAGCATTCGAATCTTTAACGTCACATCAAAATATCAATATTACCAACTCTTTAAAAGTTGAACATGTCTTTTCATGCATGGATTTATGGCATCAAAATGTTATAAATGTATTTATTAAATTTAGGTGTTTGGTATGCAAATACATGAGAATTATGTGGTATGTATGTATATTTTCCTTCATATATTTTTTGATGAGAAAGGAAGAATGTGATGCATGCAGGTAACAGTGCATAAAACTTTACCAGATACAAGCCAACAAAAAAGTCATTATCCTTAATTAGCTCAAATTTTTGGTTATATCATTTTTTTTT